TGGCCCTCTTCCAGTCCTCTGGCACCACACCAGAGCACCACGAGTGCTCATAAAGCCGTGCCAGGGGTCCCGCAATGACCTCAGCTAATTCCCTAAGTACTCTGGGGTGGAGATCATCAGGACCAGCTGATTTAAATACGTCCAGCCCCTCCAGAAGTTCCCTGACTAGATCCTCACTGGCCCTTGGCCTAGGTGTGCCTCCCTTGGGGCCTGAGGGGGTCCCGGTGGGGGGGCTGATCTGGTCCCTGCTCAGGAAAATGGAGGCAAAGAAATTGTTAAATAGGTTAGCTTTGTCGTCTGGTGTGACAACCAGATTTCCTAGCATGTCTTGCAGGGGCCCCACATTACCTGGTACCTTCTTTTTGCCCCCTATGCATTTAAAAAGGGAGTTCTTGTTGTTCTTGATCCAGGTAGCTAGTCCCAGTCTCATCTCTGCCTCTTCAAGAAGCTGAGAAGTGACAGACACACCTTTGGTGTGTCCCATTCTAGCCCGCCCTCTCCTGTTAGCATGCACCAAACCCAGAAATGGAGGACAAAGCTTCTTTTGCCAAGTTCCCAGAGGCCACACACAAGCACACGAGAGATCAAGTATACCTTCTTGTGAAACCTCTGTAAGGAAAGTGGAATTGCTGAATATTAATCTACAAGCATGTATGTGTAATAATGTAGTGGATACTGCATATAGCTTGCACAACTTGTGTAGTTGTGATAGATTTTTAGAACTTCATGAATGTGTGTATTGATTTAAATTATTAGGGGGCTTGAAAAGAGCAACCAAGAACACAAAACAGATCTAGATAAGGATAGATAAGCAGACCTTGAAAGAAACTGAGGGAAGCTAGTAGCTTCAAGTATCCTATTTCCAATGAACTGCAACCCTTTTTTGCTGGAACTGGAAGTTACTAGTTCAAATGTCTATAAACAGTTAAAAGGGGTCTTGATGCTTGTGAAAGGGGGATCATTTGTCAGCTAAAGAGATGGATGAACACAGAGACTCTATGGAGTGAGTCTGAAGAATCCCAAATTTAGGGAGTGCATGAGGAAACAGTTAGCTATATAGGCTACCTATTTTCTTAAATAGGTATTCTCTAAAATGTATTTATTCTAAATAAATAAACTTTGCCTTAAAGAGGCGTTTGGCAACTATATTTACCTGTCAGTGCTCTGAGAGGGAATAGACCTGCAAGGCCAGAAGTAGATTAGAGCTGCAGATATAGTCAGTCATGCTTGGAACTGCAGTCAAAGTTGACAGACTATGAGACCTGAAAAGGCCATGCTCAGAGGTCAAGAAGGTAAGAGGTGCAGTTTGTCCAGTCACTGTGACAATCTCCTGACTGTAAGGGTTCCATTAATTTGCAAACTCCCTTGGGCACACGCTAAATCTCCTTTTGTGTTCACAGCAAGCACACCACATTGTGGATGCTCACATAATTCTGTTATGAAACAGCTCTGCCCTTGCTGCATTTTTAATTTTTTTCCTTTTTATTCTTGTTCTCTGTTTTATTACTGTGGTAGAAGAAAAACAAGATTGTAATTGCTTGGGGGAATTCATCAGAGCTTATTCTTTATTCTCACCAGAGGTCATAACCATCTCCACAGCAACTAATTGTGATGTCTCAAGAAGGATTGATTTTTGTTTATTTATATGTCCTCCCACACAGAACTGAAAAGGCCAGAGAACAATCTTTTTCTCTTTTCCATTTAGTTCTTATTGATTCATCATGGGTGATCATTTTCGCAACCTTCTTCACGAAGACAATTTCATAGTACATGAAGTCTAACTTCAGCCCCTTCCTGGGGCCTGGCTTTGTTATTTTACTGATTAACAAAGATCAACATAATCCTTCCCCCAAGTCCTGGCTGCTTCTAGGGTCCTTCTATCACAATTGCTTAGCCCTCACTCAGTCATTTACATGTCTCTGGTATACAGTAAAATCACTGGAAAGAGGAGAAACAAACCCCTTTCTAGCAGAACAAATGCTGCCCAGCAAGCTGGAATATTTTAGACAAACACTAGTAGTCTGTTAGATCAAAGCAGACCAAACAGAGCAGAAATTGTTCAAGATGACACCAGAAAAAAAGATTTAATGCAAGACAATGCGGGTATGTCTACATATGTGATTATCATGTAGCAATAAACTCAGGCACAGTTCGCACTGGAGTTTATTGGTCCTGGTCGCTGCATTTACATGCGGCACCTGGAATCGCAGCACGTTGAGCCTGGGCAGAGTCTGGGGCCCAGTCTACTAGACCGGGGGTGCTCCACCCTGGCTCAGCATGCTGTGGAGGGACTAGCTGGGGCACAAGGGTGCTACAGCACAGGGCAAGCCAGCAGGCAACCCCCATACTGTAGCACCCTTGTGCCCCAGCCAGCCCCAGTCACTGTCTACACGTGCATTTCAGTTCACATAACTACTCCACTATAGGATAGTACTTGTCCTGGACAGTACTTCCTACAGCTGAGTTAATGAATTTACTGCACACTAATATGGGCACACGTGCAGATAGTGGTACTTTACTGCAAAGCCAATTAGTCAGCTCCTTAGTATAGTGCATGTGTAGCTGCACACTGCATGTTTAAAGCTTTTCTTATTTTTCCCTGTTTTTCTCTCTGCTTGTGATATTCCTATGGAGGGATACTTTATGTTCCATTTTTAACTTTAAGATGTGTTTCTTTGTGCCAACCACATCACTGTAGATTATTTTCCCATACTTCCCTTGATGTGCCTGATCACATGGACCCACTCCCTGCTGTTCATTGTGCAGCATCCCTGTGCCAATGACAGCAGTTGCTGGCTTAGATAATTATAAGTGCCCGTGTATTTTTATCTCACTTTCACTGCGGTTCCACAGATGAAAATGAGCAACAGTTTGCAATCAGCCAGCGGTCCACCATTTGGGAATCTCCGAGGCAAAGCATTAGAAGTATACAGAGCATGAACACATTATTGGTTCGGTATGGATTTAAAGGTCAAACAAGATGGGTAGAATGCTGCAAATATTTGTACCAGCATTTATATATATCAGCACATATCTCATAGCTTGGTGGTTACTGTATTACTGATTAAAAGGCAGTACAGGCTTAAATATTGTAGGAGCCCAAAATAATCAAAGACAGAAGTCAAGCACTGGTTGTTGAAACTGAGAACTGACTTTGAGAATCATGTGAGGGGTTCCAGCCTGCCTTACTCAGCCTCAATGTCTGTGTGAGGTGCCCAATTTAAGCAGAACTTACTTAATATGGCAAGAAAAGATTAAGCTGAAGTAAAACAATGTATGCTTTGGATTCTGTTATTTTTTAACTCTTGCTTTCTGGCGAATATGATGATATTCCCATGGATGGACACATTAGGCCAAATTTTGAGCAATCTATTTTCTGTCATTGCTTCTGCCAGTTTGCACATTTCTTGCAGATGATTCTAGAACAGGGTCCAAGCCCAGTTAACACGGCTGGAGCAATATGGTTGGTAAACCACAGATGACATAACCTGCTGGTCCAGTCAAAAGTGGGGAGGATCACAGGACTCCATTCTGAGAGCAGCAAAGGTGTAGACCCGTTCTTTGAAAGAAGTGTCCACAGAGGAGTCATAAGTACTGCTCTCCCTTCAACTACAGCCCAAGGCTCCCCAGTTTAAGAGAAAGTCACCACACAAATTACTTCAGCAAAGCCTTGTCACACACAACAACACAGTTCTTCAATGTTTTGTCAAGATGCTTCAGCTGTTCTAACAGAGCAACTCTTGAAATCAGCATCTTGAAGAAAAGAACAGAGCTGGGGAAATTTGTTCGGGGGACTATAATGCAAAGCAAGTTGAAAATATACCAAAGCTACTATAGCATCTTGGAGATCCTGGTATCATCAAACTTTACCTCTCTGATATATGAGCTCACCAGAAAGCCCCCAGTGGTGCTGCAGCCACGTAACTGTACGTGGATAAAACAGACAGAATATCTAGGGAGTTACATTTTTCCAGAACGCTCTACGTTTTCTCCAAAATGGTTCCTAACAGCAAACAAGACAGAGACAAGCAAAAGCTATAACGTTTATTATAATCAGTAATTCATCTCACCTCATTGAAATCTCCAACCCTGGGAATGTGGTTCTTCCTGCTCTTCCCAAGGACAGAGCCAGAGTTTGAAATCACCACAGCAGTGTTCCACAGAGTTCCTCCATGCACATCATCTCGCTCCAAGATCGGAGACACCACAACCATATTGTGTTTCTTTGCTAGCTATAATGAACAAAATGGACAGGCTTGTTACAGACAAGCCTTCTGTGTTTAACTGCTTTCATCTTTTGTTCCCAAGGCAAATACAGGAGAGGTTTTCACTCTGTGCACTATTCTGACATACTAAGTACCAGCAGTTAACATGATGCAGCCTTTTTTTTCCTCAGAGATGGAAACAACACAGAGGCCTTTCCAGTCTGAACCCTTCTGGCAGAGGCACCAAGTTCCAGCTGGAGGAATTATGCTACAGCAGCAGTTCTTAACCAGTGGGCCGGACAAGCCCAATCACCAGATGCGTGAGGAGAAGGTGGAGAGCATGGCGTAATGACGCTGCTCCCATTCCTTCACTCAGGCATTCTGCTGGGGTGGGTTAAGCTTAACAGTAGTGCTGACCAACTGAGGTAAAACCTTAATGGGAATTGTTTTAAAAATATATGATGCATATTAAATATATTTATGATTAAACAACAGTTGCCATCTGATCCATAAGAATCAGAGCATCTTGGGTCCAGTGACACATTTTCTCTTATTTCCCCTCAGGTCATTTTACTTTTCCATATGCCTGAATACTTGCTGCAGTTTCTGCCCCCTAGTCCAGGGGTTCTCAATCCCTGGGCCGTGGCGGGTTGGCTGCTGGTCCAGAAGTGGCTGCAGACCAGCAAACTGCGGCCCCCCAGAGCCAGGCGGAGAGGCCATGGCTCCTTCTGCAGAGCCTGCAGCAGCACAGAGTTTGGCCCACCCCACGGCCCAGAGGGTGGGGGTATCCTTACCTGTCTTCCGGCCGGAAATTCCAGCCACAGTCGGCTATAACTGCTGGGCCGCGGTTTGCCAGGCTGTGGGCACTTCTGGGCCATGGTTTGCTGGGCCGCAGCATAAAAACTTTGGGAACCCCTGCCATAGTCATTATATCCACTTGGAAAAGTGGCCCATATGTGACATAAATTGGCTTGAAGCTGGCTGCCCAAGCTTGCTTAGTAGGGCAGCTCAGGTATGGACAGATTCAGGACCATAATGAACCTGATCACATCAGAGAATATTTTAATAAAGCAACACAAAGTATCACTCATAAAAAGGAGATAATCCTAATCACTCTTTTATTCTGTACTTAGAGGATAAATGTCCACCAGCTACTAAAGGGTCCCCCTTTAAGCACAAAAAATGCTGCATCTTCTATTACCTCTCGGAAGAAAGCTGTAAGGTTAGTTAACACGTCAGTAATATTCTTTATGTGATGCTTATCAATGCATAGTCTGTTCTGGCCAAGAAATTCCATTAAAATGGAAATTAAACGTATTTGGCTTGGTTTGTCTTAATGAAATCTGGGAAATGTAAGGATGTGAAGTTTTATGTGCCCTCCGGGGTAGAAGGCATTACATGAATGTAAAACAAGGACACTTCATTAGTATTTTAAATTGAACACACAAGCTGTTATTCGTTCGCACGTTTGCTAGCTGTTACACAATACAGGTTCTGAATGTAATGGAAAATTATATTTGGTTCTTCAATTTTTGCATAGAGACAAGATCGATATATTAAAAAGGAAGCACTACAGAAAGGTGTGAATTCAACTTTCTACCTTCTGACAGAACTTGGTGGTTTGGCCCTCTTCTGCTGACTCTGCAAATTCAGTCCAAGGAAGCTTCTCTCTTGTACAGAAAGCAAAGGGCATGGCTAGGAAAAAAACCCAAACCAGCATGAGAAGTCAATTAAAGTCTTCAAGTCACTGAATGCATATGGGGCTAGTTCTGCTTTTCAGACATACGAGAAAGCTATAAACTATATTCAGAAGCTGCTTTTACAAAACACCAAGAAACAGTTACCACACATCTGAGGAGGATACAGTGAGTTCCTCTCCCCCTCCTCCTACGCAAAGGACATTAATTCTTAAGAGTATTGCATTTCATGTAAGTTTTCTATCCTCCGGTCTCACAGAGACACTGAAACTGAATACAGTTTGTGCTGTCAGACTGCTAACCACTAACATACAGCAGACCAGGACTGAATTCTGTATCTTATTCTACGGCACATGTTGGATGAGGACATTTGTATAAGCACTAGGCACTGTGGCAGAGAGATAAAGTGCCTTGTAATCAATCAACATTTGTTTAGTTAAGAAGCTACTGTGAATAGACCTTGCGTATACCCAATTTACTGCCCTGTATGACCTGTGGGCAACCTCTGTTCTTTAGGGGACCTTTCATTTTCACTATAACTAACCTTGTACATCCTCTACATTCATTTCAATACTTTTTCTTTTATTGAGAATCTTCCTAAATGAAACAAAACTTCCAAGGAGATAAATGGGGAAGGACCTATGAGAGTAACATAATCAAGAGCCACAGGACTGCAAAAGCATGCTATGCTTGGCAGGCTTCATGAGACCTGCACACAATTCTGTAAATTAGGATTCTTTAGGGTTGCTTTCAGAAAATATAAATTAACAGCGGTTTATTAATGTACCCTGGAATCTCTCCACTTAATGATCGCAGCAGAGCAATCTTTAGCACAGCTGACTTGATCTAGTAGGACTGGTGGTTATGAGAAAGACTGTTTGTGTTTGCCAAGGTAGAGTCTAGATTTGGGAAGGTAACAGAAAATACTCACTCCAGGCCTCCTGAAAGCAGACCACATTGACCCCGCATATTGCTGCCACCTCCACAATCTCCTCTATTCGTTTATGCAGTGCAGCCACCTGATTGCAATAAGTGTAACTGTAAAAAGCCATACATAATTGCTCACATATACCATTAACAGCCTGGTTCTGTTACCTCCTGTTCACATTAAGTCATATCTTGCTCTACACTTAGCCCCATTGATTTTAGTGGGAGGTACTTACTCAATGTGAGCAAAACAGTGGCAGAATCAGGCTCTAAAGAACTGGGGGCATTATGTAATTAGGTGCTTAAAGATGCACTTGACTGTGTAGTATGATTGTCAAAATAGCCACATTTAAAAATCTGTTCCTGGATGTGTATTAAAGCACCATAAACCTTAAAAGGACCAATAAAAGTCACTTTTACAGACTCTTTTGAGGTATGACACCTAGCAATATGAAAAGGTAAGTCTGAATGGAAAATAAAGTATTTCGGGACAAATAGTAGACTACTTAGCAAAGCCAGTCTACTGACTTTGTCATCCAGCCATCATCCTAATACAAACAGATTCTGAAGCCTCTTCACCCTGGGATGGGCACTATCATGAGATGACAAAATGCATCTTAAATGAGTATGCTGATTCACTTCTGACCACCATGAAATTGATAATTCTTACAAGGGTTTACGGTTCAGGAGAGTTTATGGGAAGGCCACGATCCTCAAGATTTGGACAACCATTTTTGTTTGGATAAGGAGACATGGGATGATTGGGAGAAAGGGTATGCCTATGGATAGCTAACTCTGAGGTTCAACACGCTCTTTTTAGAACATGTGTTGACCTCATGAGAAAAGACCGTATTTACAAGCCTAGAATGGGACCCCCCCACACACACACACTCTCTCTCTCTCTCATACATGCTTCAATCCATTTTATGAAGTTATTATTTTTCACAAATACACAAAGTTAATTAAAAAAACACACTTCAATCAGTTTTCCCAAGTTCCTTCCTCTAAAGCAGTGGTTCTCAACCTTTTTTGGATGCAGACCTATTTGTAAACATCGATGGCCAGTCCCGATCCAGTGCCCCTCACTCCTGACCTGCTGCCCCCAGCCCCGCAGTGTGTGGGGTGGATGGGGGCCCAAGCAGCTCTTTGCAGACTGGAACTCTGACAGCCTGCAAGGGAAAAGCCACAGTTTCCCATAATTTTCTCCTTTAAAGGAGAATCAGTTTTTAAAGTTTGTTGATACATTTTTAAAGTTTGTTCGCAACCCTTTCATATATTCTTGCGGCCCACTTTTGGGTCATGACCCATGGGTTGAGAAACACTGCTCTAAAGCATAATCTCAGTGCATTACTAACAAGAAAGAAGCAGGATACTAGCAATGGACAGACTGTATTTTTCTTTACCTAATAT